AGCAGTGGTATCAACGCAGAGTACTCTACTTCTTGTTTAAATTTAGATTTAGCATAGGAGATATTTGTACGAAAATTGTTTGTGTATCGGAAAGGAGGGAGAAGATTTATAGGCAAAATTTGAAAAAATTCAATTAAAAATTCATAACGTTTGTAGATGAACAGCTAGTACAAGGAAATGCTCACCATTGAAACCGTTTCTTCCTCTGCTTTCAGAAAACATATAGTTTGTCTGGGATCCGTTGAAAAAAGTGCGTGGTGAAGGGGGTGCCTAGTGATTTTTGGAGATTTTCGAGTTTTCAACATAAAAAAAATTCATAACTTCTGTAGATGAACAGCTAGTACAAGGAGATGCTCACCATTAGAACCGTCTCATTCTCTGCTTTCAGAAAATATATAGTTTGTAAGGGATCCCTTGCAAAAAGTGCCTGGTGAAGGGGGGGTGAGAAATTTTATAACGGGAGTTCTCAGGCAGAGGCCTTTTCACCATTGTAAAAAGACGTCTACCTGAGAAATCCCGTTATAAAATTCTCACCCCCCCCCCCTTCGCCAGGCACTTTTTGCAAGGGATCCCTTACAAACTATATATTTTCTGAAAGCGGAGAATGAGACGGTTCTAATGGTGAGCATCTCCTTGTACTAGCTGTTCATCTACAGAAGTTATGAATTTTTTTATGTTGAAAACTCGAAAATCTCCAAAAATCACTAGGCACCCCCTTCACCACGCACTTTTTTCAACGGATCCCAGACAAACTATATATTTTCTGAAAGCAGAGGAAGAAACGGTTTCAATGGTGAGCATTTCCTTGTACTAGCTGTTCATCTACAAACGTTATGAATTTTTAATTGAATTTTTTCAAATTTTGCCTATAAATCTTCTCCCTCCTTTCCGATACACAAACAATTTTCGTACAAATATCTCCTATGCTAAATCTAAATTTAAACAAGAAGTAGTTACAACCTCACTTTGTTTCAACAACCCTAATATTTCCAATTTAACAAGTTCAGTATTACGCAGCGTCCAGTAGTCTTCAGCGGAATAAATTTTTCGTGGCAGTAGGCGTTCCGATTTTCCTGTCCTTGTTTCTTCCATTGTCATCCAATGCCTTTTTTAGAAGATAACGAGAAGGTTCCAATCCTGCTCCCGTGTGTTTTTTTCTTATCATTTACGTGCACATTTACCAAGAATGGCCATTTATACATGCAATAATTTTACTGTATCTTTCAGAGTTTCCTGGGCAGACAATATTTTACTTCTTTCTACGTGCTTCATCATTCATAATTTTTGATACTTCCTATCATCACACTTCTCAGAACCACTTTCTATTACAACTTCTGATGGCCTCACAATAGTTGATAGTCGTCATCTTTCAATATTTTCATTGAATTACAAAGCATGAAACGGCAACATTAAGACAAGAATATAGTCATGGTCGGTCCGGACCTTCATCCCACATTCGTATGAAGCAAGTGACAAGCGTTGTATAACCTTTCCTTCTCGAACATTACGCCTGCAAAAACCTCAGTTTTGCACCTGTGTACCATCCAATAATTTTGATCACACTCACTTTTTCAGACCGTTTATAAAATCGGTCCTCATAAAATCGGTCTAAGGACATAACTGGAAGAATGCCACGATTGCCCTTCACTTGCTTCTTGACTGTAGAGCCTACAAATAGGTTGATAGCGTGGTCATTTTATCAGGCATAACCTTACCTCACTGTTGATTTTTTTTGTCGTTTTGGTGAAGGGGGTCACACCTTGGTTTCCGGCTCAGGGGTGAAGGGGGGGGTGAGCAAATTCTCACACTATCGCACCTATGCTAACGCGTATGAATAAATAACCGCGAATATAAATGCGCTTTGAAAAAAGTGAAGAGTATGTTGAATTGTAAGAGTATAAATGGACGTGGTATTTAGATAGATCCATGATTGCGATGCTTGTTTTCGAATAAATTTGATGAATTTTTTGAATGCATGCTTATATAAACTCAGCCCTGCACCGTTTTCATACTAAAGCGTCTGCAACGAAAACATCAAAAATTCAAATACACGTGGGAACAGAATACCTCTCTTATTGTTTTTTTTCTATTCAGTCATTGTTACACGAAAATCAGCATTGGTGCATTATTATCAATTACTGCAAATCAAC